TTTTTGGGGGGTCCGGTCATGGGGCCTGAACTCTGGGCGTGGGCGCTGTCCCTCAGCTCTTCAGCTCAAGGCTAGCGCTCTACCACTTGAGCCACAGCACCATTTCCAGTTTTTTTCTTTTTGCTTATGTGGTGCTGAGGAATCGAACCCAGAGCCTCATGCATGCAAGGCAAGCGCTCTACCACTGAGCCACCTTCCCAGCCCCAGCTAAAAGATTTTTGGTATGCATTCAAATTTTCTTTCAGCATAGTTAATTAGAGTCACAAAATTAAGGGAAGGCAATGATTCTTTTAAGTGTAACACATTGAAAGTAGTATATTTTAATTCTTACTTTGTGCAGGATTCCATTGATTAATACTTCAGTTGTCAAGGTCTATGTATTAATTGTTAATAGTAACTAAGTATAACAGTTAATGATAAATACTAATTATAACTATTAATGATTAAAATATAAGGCTATCAAGTCAAATTAAAAGGTTTTTGCATGACAAAGGTCAAAGTTAATAGGCTAAGCGGCCTATGGAATGAGAGATTTTCATCAGCTACTTATCAGACAATGGCCTAATATCCAGAACACACAGACAGCTTAAGAAACTAAATCATCATGAATCAACACAACTAGCAAATGGGCAATCAATAAAGACTTCTCCAAAGACGCAAAAATGGCCAACAGCCCAGGCAAAGAACTATCTCCATTAACTGAACAGGAAATGCTGGAAGTGGTGCTATGGCTCAAGTGGTGGAGTGCTAGAGTTGAGCAAAAGAAGGCCACGGACAGTGTCCAGACTCTGTGTCCATGTCTCAGAACTGGCACACACACACACACACACACACACACACACACACACACACACACACAAGAAATGAATATCAAAATTGCACTTGTTGTATCTCATCTCAGTTAGAATAACCATCATCAAGAATACAAACAGTATCATTTGCTGGTGCAGATATGAGAAAAGGAACCCTAATGCCTTTTTGGTAGGAATTTAAACTGTACAACCACTCTGGAAGTTTGTTTTTATGTTAGTACCTAGCTGTTTTATTACTATATCTCTGTGGCAGAGTTTAAAATTTGATTTTGTACTACCTCCAGCATTAGCATTACCTTTTCTGCCTGATTGCTGTTGTGATTGGATGTCTTTCCTGGTTCCATATGAATTTTTGGATTGTTTTCTTCATCTTAGTGATGATGGTTATAAAATTGAGTTTCTAGATTCTCTTGGCAGTATTGCCATCTTCACTATATCAATTCTGCCATTCCAAAAGTAGTGCTTATTTATATCTATTTCAATTTCCTTCTTACAAAATTCTTAGTTAGGCTGATTATTAGACATTTTATTTATTTCTTTTTTCTTTTTTATTGTAAAAATACTGTACAGAGGGGTTACAATTACATGGGCAAGATAATGCATACATTTCTTATCAAGCATTGTTGCCTCCTCCTTTGTTTCCCCTTACTATCCCTTTCCATCCTCCCCGTCCTCCCACCAAATCCTCCTCCTCCCCCCCACACCTCCCCATCAAAGTTTTAAAGTTCATTTTCAACATAACGACTTGTACCTCTCATTGTTGCAATGGATCCACCTGTATCCCTATTTACACAATTTGTTTTTTCCCTTCCCCTCCACAAATTATACTGACATAAAATACAGTGAAAGCAGGGGCTGTACCATGGGGGAGGGACATACAAAGCAACAAAGAAATAATCTTATAAATGTGTTAGAAAAAATCACATGAAAGAAAAAAAATTTGCATACATGTTTTAGGGTTCATTTCCCTTTTCAACTTATCTGACCTTTTCTGCTTGACTCAGACATGTGCTAGTTATTGCAAATAAGGTAAACCATGGGACCTATGTTTCTTTGGGCCTGGCTTACTTCACTTAATATAATTTTTCTACGTCTTTCCATTTCCTAACAAATGGGGCAATGTCATTCTTTCTGATGGAGGCATAGAATTCAGATATATATACCACATTTTCTTGATCCATTCACCTAATGAGGGGCATCTGGGTTGGTTCCATATCTTAGCTATGGTAAATAATGCTGCAATAAACATAGTTGTGCTGGTAGCTTTAGTGTGATCTTGTCTGTGAACATTTGGGTAAATGCCCAAAAGTGGGATTGCTGGGTCATAGGGGAGCTCTATGTGGAGTTTTTGAGGAACCTCTATACTGCTTTCCAAAGTGATTGAACAAGTTTACACTCCCACCAACAATGAAGTAAGGTTCCCTTCTGTTCACATCCCCTCCAGCATCTGTTGTTATTAGAGTTCTTGATTATAGCCATTCTAACTTGGGTGAGGTGGTATCTCAATGTTGGTTTGATATGCATTTCTTTTATGGCTAGGGAGGTTGAGCATTTCTTCATGTGTCTATTGTCCATCCTTCTTTCTTCCTCAGAGAAGTTTCTCTTTAAGTCTTTAGCCCACTTATTTATTGGGCAGTTGTTGGTTATCTCAATAGAGGCAAAAAAAATCATTTGACAAGATTCAACACCCCTTTATGATGAAGGCTCTGGAAAAATTAGGAATCCATGGAACATTCCTCAATACAATAAAGGCTGTATATGACAAACCTACAGCCAGCATTATACTTAATGGTGAAAAACTAAAGTCATTTCCTCTTAACTCAGGAATGAGACAAGGATGTCCACTCTCTGCTTCTCTTCAACCTAGTATTAGAATGCCTAGCTACAGCAATAAGATAAGATGAAACCATAAAGGGGATCCAAATAGGGAAAGAAGAAGTAAAACTCTCCTTCTTTGCAGATGACATCATCTTGTATTTAAAGAATCCCACAGACTCCACTCCCAAATTACTCAAGCTGATTCAAATCTTTGGCAAAGTAGCAGGGTATAAAATTAACCCTCAAAAATCAATGGCTTTTATATATGCCAACAATGAGAAAAGCATGGCGAAATCAGGAAAGCAACTCCATTCATAACAGCCCCACAAAAAATAAAATACCTAGGAATTAACTTAACCAAAGAAGTGAAGAACCTCTATGATGAAAACTTTAAAACTTGAAAAAGGAAATCAATACAGATCTTAGAAAGTGGCAAAAACTACCATGCTTCTGGATTGGAATGATCAACATCTGAAAATAGCAATACTCCCAAGATTATCTACAAATTCAATTGGATATTCCAACCTCATTCTTCAAGGAAATAGAAGAGGCAATCCAAAAATTCATATGGAACAATAAAAGACCCAGAATAGCAAAAATGATTCTCAACAGAAAGAACAATGCCGGAGGAATATCAAATTTCAAACTCTACTATAAAGCCATAGTTATAAAAACAGCTTGGTACAAGAAGAGACCCCAGGACCAATGAAATAGAATTGTAAACCCAGAAATGAAACCACAGACCTATAGCCACTTTATCTTCAATAAGTGAGCTAAAAATATAGAATGGAAGAAAGACAGCCTCTTCAGTAAATGATGCTGCCAAAATTCGTCAATCACTTGTAGAAAACTAAAGCTAGATCCTTATATATCACCCTGCACCAGAATCAACTCCAAATGGATCAAGGACCTCGGAGTCAAAGCAGACACTGTGAAAACATTACAGGATGGAATAGGAGAAACCGTAGGTCTCCTTGGTGCAGGCCGAAATTTTCTTAATAGAGACTCAGAAACACAACATATCAAAGAAATGTTGGACAAATGGGATTGCATGAAAGTGCAGAGCTTCTGCATTGCAAAGCACATAGCTAGCAAGATCAATAGAAACCCCTCCAATTGGGAGAAGATCTTCACTAGCCATACAATAGACAAGGGTCTTATATATAAAATATACCTGTAACTCAAAAACTTGTTGTCTCCTAACAACAAATCTTCATAGATATTTTATTTTTAAGACAATTGTAAGTAGAGTTGGTTTCAATCTGAAACTTTTTCATAGTTGATGTACAGTAAACTATAAGGATATCAAGTCATATATACTTTATCATTTACGACTATTGTAATAGTGAAAATAATATTCTATATGCCTCATATACTCATTGACAATAAGCGAAAAGTGGGGAATAAGATCAAAACTTTAGTATTCACATGGATTTCATCAGATTCAAGTGACTTTTTTGTTTTTCACATTGTAGTAATCATAAAATTCTTAATGGTGTTTTTTTTCATCCTCCAGAAAAAGCTCTGAAGCCCTGGCTTTGGTCCAAGTGGGACTTATCGATCTCCAAGACACAGCCCAAGCTCAGACTGTTGGTATTCACCGTGCCATGCCGTATTTAGGTCCGAGAGGACCATTAGGGCCTGGGTTAATCTTCCTTAAGCAGCCAATAAATTTCCAACCCCTGGTGCTACCTATTTGTCTAGAGGAAAGTCTGGAGCAAGAGAGAAATATACAACTTTATGACTGCTGGTTACCGAGTTGGTCGTTAATGAGGGGTAAGTAAAGAAGAAGGCACTAGGGTAGAACAGAAGAATATGCTTAGACATGTTATGAGTAACTAAGTGTATATGCTATATTTCTCTCCGCTAATCTAAAGCAAAAACAAGGATAACAGAAACAAGGTCTAAGCCAACGAATAACAACCTCTCTTCTCTTTTTCCTTCAGGAAGTCCTGGAATTTTGCAAAAAAGACACCTAAGCATCTTGCAAGTCATCAGTTGTGCCCAATTCTGGCCCACAATGAATGAATTTACTTTCTGTGTGGAAGCTAAGAAGGCTATGGGGGAGGCTGGCTGTAAGGTGAAAATTTTAGGGGCTCTGAAAAACAGATACAAAGGAACATCCTCCAACAATCTAACATCTATTACATTATGAATTGACATTCTATTAATTGTTTCTTACAGGGTGACCTGGGGGCACCACTGGTGTGCCACATACAGCAAAAGGACACCTGGGTGCAGGTGGGAATCTTGAGCCACTTTGATGAACACTGCAGAAAGCCCTATGTATTCAGCCAAGTGAATCCTTTCATTTTCTGGCTCCAAGGGGTTACACGGCCCAGCCATGCACCCTGGTCCCAGCAGGAGCCTATGATTACCTCAGCTTCCCTCTCCCTTCCAGTCACTACTTCTAGGAATGCTTCAGCTTTTACCTCTACTACTGCTTTCATTCAGCCACACTTCATCTCTCTTCCACAGCCTCAGAGTAAGATCCAAGAATATGATACTATGGGAGGTATGATAAGGAAACTAGTAGGGGTATGGAAATAGAAAAGAAAGAAGGATGGGAAATAAAGGTATTTTTTCTGAGAGAGAAATGAGGTGTTTTTTCACATCATTGGGATTATTTACATTTAATTACGAAGGCATGTCATAAAATATTTTCTTACTGTTTTTATATAGATTATGATGCTTAATATCATTATCCTTAGCAATTATTCATGAGAAACTCTAAATAAGAATTTATCTAATTTTTAGCAGAATAAAAAGACAAAGACGAATAGTCTCAAACAGATAATAAGTGACAATGATTTTGTGGGTTCTATTTTATATATGGTTGTCTTTCTTTCCTTGACTGTTAGGAAACCTGTCGCAGTATCATCAATAGCAATTTGACATTACCTACTTACCCTTTTCTACTAAGAAAAAAAATTACTGCATTATGTACTATGAATTAATATTATATTCCCTTACCTATCAAGAATACTTTCTTAAACTGAAGTAATGTAATTTGCTTTTAAAGTCCTTCAAATATATTTTAATATAAGGAAAATTCACTGGAGACAGTTATTATTCAAATTTCATCTTATTTCTTTTATATACATTTCATGATTCTTTTTTTTTAGTACATTAGTGTACTAAGTAGCATTGATTTAACTTACAAAGAACTCTAAAATAGTTTCTTGTCTAACTTTTATATCTAACTATTCCATTTAATATTTAATATTAAAATAAGATTTAAAATATAGTGAGCTTGATCTCTTTCAGTCCAAATAAATTTCTCTAATATTTTCAAGCAAAATTATTCTTCTTCATTGCCTAACTGAACTAATATCTCCAAAGCATCTAAAATCTAAGTAAATGTTATTATGGAAGAAACTATCACAGCTCTGAATGTTTTAACTAACAAAAACTTAACTTGGCAATAAATTATAGAAATATAAGAAAATTAAAAATGTCAAAATTTAAAATACATAGCTGTTTAGCACTAAAACTTGAAGGATGGCTCACATGTAACATTTCTTCCAAATTTTCTCTTACATTATTGCTGTTTATTTTCTTTTGTTCAGCTTTGGCAGATCGTATTTCGCTTCGATATACTATGCCTTGGCAGGCTATGATCATCAGCTGTGGCAGTCAAATCTGCAGTGGATCCATACTTAGCAGCTCTTGGGTTCTCACTGCTGCTCACTGCGTCAGAAATATGTATGTTTATGTCCTTTCTTTTCCAGTGCTGTACTGTATTAATTCATTAACTTCAGATTCTTTTGAGGAAAATTTTTCTGGGTAAAGTCACTTTCATAGTTGCCATATCATGTACTTCCATTACATCTTTCCTTTGGGGTAAATATGATTTGCACAGTATGATTTGCTCAGTTACAATTCTTTTTGTTTGCCAGAACTAAGGCCTGAACACTGTTCCTAAGCTTCTTTTGCTTACCCTACCACAGAACCACTTCCAGCTTTTTCTTTCTATGAGGTACTGAGGAATTGAACCCTAGGTTCACACATGCTAGGCAAACACTCCACCACTGAGTCACATTCCCAATCTCTCAGTCATTTCCCCTGCAGTACTATGGCTCATATAGTCCTTTTAATACTACCACTAATCATATGTACCAAAATGTTTAACAATAAACAAACAAAATGTGTTTTTGGAGAGTGTAGTTTTATGATGAATTAATAATATCTACCTATCCCCCTAGGAATCCAGAGGATACAATTGTAATACTGGGTCTTCGGCATCCTGGGGCACCTCTGAGAATTGTTAAAGTGACAACTATTCTACTTCATGAGAGATTCCGGCTCGTGAGTGGGACAGCAAGAAATGATCTAGCTTTAGTGCTGCTCCAAGAGAGTCAAAATTCCATTCAAATATCAGCACCTTTGGGCCATCTGAAGAACCTTAATAATTCTGAATGCTGGCTTTCTGGGCCACAAATTCTCAAACCAGGTTAGTGCTTTTTTCTGTATTATGGGAGTAGTTTTAAAACAAATAAGGATTAGATATTTTTTTCAATTATAAAAATAACAGCCACAATAGTCTATATTACTAATTTTAAGATTTTTCTACAAATGAGGCACCTATTCTTAAATGTTTTTTGTATTATGGAATAGTTGTCTTACTGATCACTAGATAAGATTTTTTGAGATCAAAAGAAAAGATAGGCAGATATTTGTAAGTCCAGCTAAATTTTATAATCAAGGTACAAAACGTTAACTCCTGACTCTTCTTTAACTTTGTTTTTTTTTTAAATTACAAATAAGGTTTTAGTTCTTGTTATTTATTACTTCTACAAGACTGAAAAATAAAGTGCTTCAGTACAATCTGTATCTGTATATTCCACTTAGAATATGTGTATCTAACTTACTATTTTTAGGAGAGACAGATGAGAATCCAGAAGTATTACAGATGCAGGTAATGGGAGCTTCAAACTGTGCCCACCTCTACCCTGACATAGGAAGTTCTATTATTTGCTTCATCACCCATGCCAAAGGTCATGACACAAATATGGTGAGAAAATCAGTTTTATTTCTTTTTTGTACTTAATGTACTTTTCTTTTCGTACTTAATGATAACATTTATAAATTTGTCTCCCAGTAAGAAGGTAAATCACCCATCCTAAAATAACACTTTTTAAATACTTTTCAATAATACTTTAAAATTGCAGAACAAACTTCTTCAAAATTTTTTTCTTTTTTTTTATTGTGTAAATATCGCACAGAGGGGTTACAATTACATGGGCAAGATAGTGAGTACATTTCTTATCAAGCATTGTTGCCTCCTCTGTTGACCCTTCCCATCCCTTTCCATCTTGCCCCACTCCCCCGTCCCCTCTACTTCCCCACTTCCCCCTCCCCCCAAAATTGTACAGACATGACATGTTATGTTTTTTAACATAACAACTTGTACATCTCATTATTGCAATGGGTCCACCTGTATCCCTATTTAAACGATTTGTTTTTTCCCTTCTCCTCCACAAATTATACCAACATTAAATACAGTGAAAGCAGGGGGTTATACCCTGGGGGAGGGACATACAAAGCAACAAAGAAACCACTTTATAAATATATTAGAAACAATCACATGAAAGAAAAAAAAAACATTTGAATCTTTGTCTTGGGGTTCATTTCACCTAACATCAATTTATCTGACCATTTCTGTGTATGTCAGACATATACTAGTTATTACAATTAAGGGAAACCATGGGACTTATGTTTCTTTGGGCCTGGTTACTTCACTTAATATATTTTTTTCCAAGTCTTTCCATTTTCTAACAAATGGGTCAATGTCATTCTTTCTGATGGAGGCATAGAATTCCATTGTGTGTATATACCACATTTTGTCACTAATCTCTGATACATCTGACACATGTGATACGATCATATAGAACAGTTGGCCAGGTAATCTCCAAATAGCTTATGCTTTTTATTTATCTCACTTGTGATTATACAGTCTATCTATGTTCTTTTTACTTTTAAATCCTGGACCTAACTTGGCTTTCCCATTCATCACTGTGGCTGAGCCACATACTTGAACCACACCTCCACTTCCAATTTATTTCCACCACATGGTGGTCTGGAGATAATATTCTCTCAGATTTATCTCAGCTTGTGAGTAGGTAGGCTTACAGGCATGAGCCACTGATGTCTAGCATATCTTCTTTTTAAGGTTTAATAAATCCAATCTTTTTTATTTAATTGAAAATACCATAGATCTTTTGTCATATCAGTTAGAACATTTTTAGGGAAAATGGTATAATTCTTATTCTGTATCTTGCATCTGTTTATTTAATCAACACTTACCTCCTTACAAATTAAATAATCTAAGAAAAAACAATATTGAACTGTGAATTTAACCTTACTCTATATTTGACTCCACAGGAGCCTGTGAATCCAGGCAGTGCTGTTATGTGCAGACCAATATATGGCAATGGCAAATGGAGACAAATAGGCCTCACCAGTCTTAAGGCCCTAGCTACCATCATAAGCCCACACTTCTCTTGGATTATATCCACTACAGAAAAAGCAGGCCATCCCCTAAATCAGGCTGCCATGCCATGGATGGAAAAGGCTAACTCCTCTTGTCTCCTTAAATATACAACCAAATTGTTTCTCTCTTTAGTAATTATTGTTGTTGCCCAAAGTTTTTTGTAGTCCAATTCAGAGAGCCAGTAGTGCATATTGTAGTATCATTATAGAAAAGACACCAGAACAGCAGAGAAAAGATTGGCATATGCTATAGACAATCTCCTCACATATTATTTGAATAAATAATCTTTCCCTCCTTAATGACTGTCATGTCTATTACCTGAACTAGTAAATAATGGTTTATGAATATGTTTACAAATATATAGAAAATAAAATAATTTGAAATTTGTCAGCATCTCTAATTTTTAACTGTTATATTTTAAACAAATAGTCCTCCTAATCTCTTATAAGCAACTTATATTTTCTCTATGAACATAGAATATTATTTTACTCCTTAAATATTTATATTTGCATTAGAGTATTTATATTTGCATTTCCAGTATGACCTAAGAAAATAACTTAGTATTCCAAAGACAATAATAAATATGTCCCAATAACTGCAACATAATTATGGCCTTATTGGACTATATTAACAAGAATGAAAACATTTTTATCTCATTAACTAGCACATTTGTAATGACTAATTACACATAATATTTGTGGTGACTAAAATCCTCTCTTAAGTATACCTAGCTGTGCTTTTCTGTCAATTCTGAGGCATGTACTTTGGATCTCAAACTCTTTTTTTTGTATAAGTTTTTTATTGTGATAATACCATACAGAGGGGTTACAATTACATGAGCAAGGTAATAATGAGTACATTTCTTACCAAGTATTGTTGCTTCCTCCTTTGTTTTTCCCTTAGCATCCTGCCCTCCCATCTCCACTTCTGCCTCCCTACACCACCCCCTCTGCCAAAATTGTAAGTTTGTTTTTCGATATAGCATCTTGTACATCTCATTGTTGCAATGGGTATCCCTATTTAAACAAGTTTTTTCCCTTCCCCTCCCCATATTATACCAACATCAAAAACAGTGATAACAGGGGTTATACCGTGGGGGGAGGGGACATACAAAGCAACAAAAAATCACCTTATAAATACATTAGAAATAATAGCAAGGAAGAAAAAAAACACTTGTGTCCTTTTCTTGGGGTTCATTTAACCTAACATTACCTTATCTGACCTTTCCTTCTTATCTCAGACATATGCTAGTTATTGCAAATAAGGGAAACCATGGGACCTTTGTTTCTTTGGGCCTGGCTTACTTCACTTAATATAATTTTTTTCTAAGTCTTTCCATTTCCTAACAAATGGGGCAACTGGGCATATTTAGTCATGGTTGGGACACTACCACTTGAGACATGATTCTGGTCTGGGTGTTTGTTAATTAATCAGAGTCACATAGAATCTTCTGCCTAGGTTTCTTCAAATAGTGATCATCTCATCTCAGGCCCTCAGTAGCTGGGACTACAGGTATTCAAGTGAATTTCCGGGGCATGCTGAGGCTGAGATGTGATGTGTTTCACACTATTTTGAAAGTGGATAAAGTATTTTCTTTGATTCTTTAAGAAACTAATTAAGGATGTCTGACATAATATGATCCTTAGAGGATTATTCTTTTCAGATGAAGGGCAAGTACTTATACATCAAGAAGAATGATGATGATCTACTAAGTAGGAGATGTCTCCTTCAGGGCCTGTGGTCAGAAGTTTTACAAGCATGTATTGCTCTGAAGATTAGTTTTATGAGTCTTCCTTGAGAATTTCAATTCATATTCTGTCATATAGTAATTGTGTACTATATTAACAAAAATCCAAATTTCTCATATATTTTGTGATTTTACACATGTAAACCTAATACATGTGAGACAGAGATTGGGATGTTTTAAACTCTATGTCAATAGTCAGTGGTTGCCAAGTGCTTGTCTTCCAAGCTGCATAGATAATGTTATTGGGAAGATGGTAGTTCAAGTATGGACAGACAAAAAATTTAGAAGCCAGTTATCTACATGGGAGGAGCCAAGTGAGGTGGATGCACTTATTACCCAAGCTATGACAGGAAGCATAAAGAATAACCTGAGCAAAAAGAAAAAAACTATCTCAAAAATAAACTCTGGGAAGTGGCACTGTAGCTCAAGTGGTAGAGTGCTAGCCTTGAGCTAAAGAGCTGAGGGACAGCGCTCAGGCCCAGAGTTCAAGCCCCATGACTGACAAAAAGAAAAAAAAACCCTCTGTTAAGCACCAAAAGCATAGATTAGCATTAAAGCACTCGACTAAAAAGCATGAGGTCAAGTTCAAACAATAGAAACTACAAATATTTCCATGAAGTATTCTAGGAACTACTTTGAATATTTGTATCATAGGTAGATATATTAGAAATATTTTTTCTAGGTTTGTGGGAGGGTGATTACAGTGTTTTCTTTTCTCTATGATATTACTTTGTCAGAGGATTTTCTTTTTTATAAGTTTTTATTGTCAAAAATTCTGTACAGAAGGGTTATAGTTACATGAGAAAGGTAATGAGTACATTTTCTATCAAGCGTTGTTACCTCTTTGTTTTTCCCTTACCATGCCTTCACTCTCACCTTCACAATTACATTCCCCCCATCTAAATTGTAAAGTTTGTTTTCAACATAGTGTCTTGTACAGCCCATTGTTACAATGGGTCAGTCTGTATCCCTATTTAAGCATTTTGTTATTTCTTTTCCCCCGCCACAAATTAGAGAAGTGTATATACAAGATGCAGAGCATCAACATGAAATACAATGAAAATGGGGGTTATACTATGGAGGACAAACATAAAAAGTAACCAAAAAATCACAAGGTACATTATGAATATGTTAGAAACAATAGCAAAAAAGAAAAAAAAAACACTTGTGTCCCTATCTTGGGGTTCATTTTGCTTAATATCATCTTATCTGGTCATATGTCCATAGCTTTTGAACTTTTCTGCTTGTCTTAGACATATACTAGTTATTGCAAATAAGGGAAACCATGGGACCTATCTTTCTCTGGGACTGGCTTACTCCATTTAATATAATTTTTTCCAAGTCTTTACATTTCCAAACAAAGGGGGCGATGACATTCTTTTTGATGGAAGCATAGAATTTATATCCATATATCTATACATATACACATATATATGTATAATTTACTGAGGGGCATCTGGGTTGGTTCTATATCTTAACTATGGTAAATAATGCTGCAATAAACATAGTTGTGCTGGTAGTTTTAGTATGGTCTTGTTTTAGTATGATCATTTGGGTAAATGGGTCATAGGGAAGCTCTATGTGAAGTCTTTTAAGGAACCTCCATTCTGCTTTCCAAAGTTATTGAACAAGTTTACACTCCTACCAACAATGCAGTAGGGTGCCCTTCTGGCCACATTCCCTCTAGCATCTGTTGTTATTAGAGTTCTTGATTATAGCCATTCTAACTGGGATGAGGTGAAATCTCAATGTTGTTTTGATTTGCATTTTTTTTATGGCTAGAGAGGCTTAGCATTTCTTCATATGCCTTTGGCCATTCTTATTTCCTCTTCAGACAAGTTTCCCTTTAAGTCTTTGGCCCACTTACATATCAGTTGTTTCTTTCAGGATTTGATGTTGGGAGATTTAATTTTTTGAATTCCAAGTATAGTTTAGATATGAGACCCTTATCCATTGTATGGCTAGTGAAGATGTTCTCCCAATCTGTGGACTTTCTACTAATCTTGCTAGCTATATCCTTTGCCATGCAGAAGCTCTGCGATTTCATGCAATCCCATTTGTCCAACCTTTCTTTGATTTGTTGTGTTTCTAGGTCTCTATTAAGAAAATTTTGGCCTGTGCCATGGAGACCTAGGGTTTTTTTCTATTTCATCCTGTAATGTTTTCAGGGTATCAGCTTTGACTCTGAGGTCTTTGATCTATTTGGAGTTGGTTCTGGTTTAGGGGGATATATAAGGATTTAGCTTTAGTTTTCTACAGGTGATTAACCAATTTTGCCAGCAACATTTATTGAAAAGGCTATTTTTATTCCATCCTATTTTTTTAGCTCCCTTATTGAAGATAAAGTGGTTATAGGTCTGTGAATTCATTTCTGGGTTTTCAATTCTATGCCATTGGTCCTCAAGTCCGTTCTTGTGTCAGTACCAAGTTGTTTTGATTACTATGTCTTTGTAGTAGACTTTGAAATTTGGTATTGATATTCCTCCAGCCCTCTTCTTTCTTTTTTGTTTTATTTTTAATTGTGAAAATACTGTACAGAGGGGTTACAATTACATGGGCAAGATAATGAGTACATTTCTTATCAAGCATTGCAGCCTGCTCCTGTGTTTCCCCTTCCCATCCTTTCCCAGCCTACTCCCATCCCCCTCACCCAATACTCCCCCCCCCACCAAAGTTGTAAAGTTCGTTTTCGACATGACAACTTGTACTTCTCATTGTTGCAACGGGTCCACCTGTATCCTTATTTAAACGACTTCCCCTCCACAACTTATACCGACATCAATTACAGTGAAAGCAGGGGTTATATAGTGGGGGAGGGACATACAAAGCAACAAAGAAATAATCTTATAAATGTGTTAGAAACAAATGCATGAAAGAAAAAGAACATTTAAATACATATCTTAGGGTTAATTTTCCTAACGTCACCTCATCTGACCTTTTCTAATTGACTCATACATATACTAAATATTGCAAATAAGGGAAACCATGGGACCTATGTTTCTTTGGGCTTGGCTTACTTCACTTAATATAATTTTTCCAAGTCTTTCCATTTCCTAACAAATGGAGCAATGCCATTCTTTCTGATGGAGGCATAGAATTCCATTGTGTATATATACCACATTTTCTTGATCCATTCATCTACTGAGGGGCATCTGGGTTGGTTCCATATCTTAGCTATGGTAAATAATGCTACAATAAACATAGTTGTGCTGGTAGCTTTAGTGTGGTCTTGTTTGTAAACATTTGGGTAAATGCCCAAAAGTGGGATTGCTGGGTCATAGGGGAGTTCTATGTGGAGTCTTTTGAGGAACCTCCATACTACTTCCAAAGTGGTTGAACAAGTTTACATTCCCACCAACAATGCAATAAGATTCCCTTCGGTCCACATCCCCTCCAGCATCTGTTCTTATTACAGTTCTTGATTTTTGCCATTTCAACTGGGGTTAGGTGGTATCTTAATGTTGTTTTGATTTGCATTTCTTTTATGGCTAGGGGGGTTGAGTATTTCTTCGTGTGTCTATTGGTCATACATCTTTCTTCTTCAGAGAAGTTTTTCTTTAAGTCTTTAGCCAACTTATTTATTGGGCAGTTGTTTGAGTATTTCTTGTTGGAGGATTTAATTTTTGAAGTTCCAGATATATTTTAGGTATGAGACCCTTGTCTGTTGTATGGCTAGTGAAGATCTTCTCCAATCCATGGGCTTTCTATTGATCTTGCTAGCTATATTCTTTGCAATGCAGAAGCTCTGCACTTTCATGCAATCCCATTTGTCCAACCTTTCTTCGATTTGTTGTGTTTCTGGGTCTCTATGAAGAAAATTTCGGACTGCGCCAAGGAGACCTAGGGTTTCTCCTATTCCATCCTGTAATGCTTTGACTCCGAGGTCTTTGATCCATTTGGAGTTGATTCTGGTGCAGGGTGATATATAAAGATCTACCTTTAGTTTTCTATAAGTAGTTAACCAATTTTTCCAGCACCATTTACTGAAGAGGCTGTCTTTCTTCCATTCTATTTTTTTAGCTCCCTTATCGAAGATTAGATGGCAATAGGTCTGTAGGTTCATTTCTGCAGCCCTCTTCTTTCTGAGGATACAGTTCAAAGCCAGCCTGGGCAGGAAAGTCTGTGAAACTCTTATCTTCAATAAACCACTAGAAAAGTGCAAAACTTCTCAACAAAATTTTGACCAATCGACTTCAAAACTCATCAAAAGATCATACAGCATGATCAAGCAAGATGCATTTCAGGGATACAAAGCTGATTTAATATATACAAAACAATGTAATTCATCACATCAACAAGAGCAAGGATAAAACCACATGTTAAGGATCATTTTTGCTATTCACAGTCTTTTATTCTTGTATATGAATGTTTGGATTGCTGCTTCTATTTTATTGAAGAATCAGGTTGGAATATTGATAGATATTGCATTGAATTTGTAGATAGCCTTGGGAAGTATTGCCATTTTCACAATGTTGATCCCTCCAATCCAGGAGCATGGGAAGTTTTCCCACTTTCTAAGTTCTGCTTTGATTTCCATTTTCAGGCTTTGAAAGTTTTCATCATAGAGGTCCTTCACTTTTTTAGTTAATTCCTAGGTATTTACTTTTTTGTGGGACTATTACAAGATGAATTGTTATCCTGATTTCAACCACACTCTTCTCATTGTTGGCATACAGAAAAGCCATTGATTTTATTTTTCTGGGGTCCAGTCATGGGGCCTGAACTTTAGGTCTGGGTGCTGTCCCTGAGCTCTTCAGCTCAAGGCTAGCGCTCTACCACTTGAGCCACAGCGCCACTTCTGGCTTTTTTCTTTTTGCTTATGTGGTGCTGAGGAATCGAACCCAGGGCCTCAGGCATGCAAGGCAAGTGCTCCACCACTGAGCCACCTTCCTAGCCCCAAGACATTGATTTTTAAGGGTTGATTTTATATCCTGCTACTTTGACAAAGCTGTTTTTTTTTGTCCATCATGGGCCTTGAACTCTGGCCTTGGGCAATGTTCCTGGCCTCTTCAGCTCAAACCAAGTGCTCTACTGCTTGAGCCACAGCACCACTTCTCGTTTTTCTAGTGGTTTATTGGAGATAAGAGTCTCACAGACTTTCCAGTGAATCAGCTCTAATAATTTGTGAGTGGAGTCTGTGGGATTCTTTAAATACAACATCATGTCACTTGTAAAGAGGGAGTTTTACTTCATCCTTCCCTATTTGGATACCCTTTAGGTCTGCATCTTGACTTATTGCTGTGGCTAGACATTCTAATACTAGGTTGAAGAGGCATGGGGGGAGTGGATATCCTTGTCTCATTCCTGACTTTAGAGGAAATGGCTTTAACTTTTCTTCATTAAGTATAATGCTGGCTGTAGGTTTGTCATATATAGCCTTTATTGTATTGAGGAATGTTCCATGGGTTCCTAGATCCAGAGCCTTCATCATAAAAGGGTGTTGGATCATGTCAAATGCTTTTTCTGCATCTATTGAGATAATCATGTGATTCTTATCTTTGCTTTTGTTTATGTGATGAATTAAATTAATTATTTTGCATATATTGAACCAGCTTTGCATCCTTGAAATGAATCCTGTTTGATCATGGTGTATGATCTTTTGATGAGTTTTGAAGTCGATTGGCCAAGATTTTGTTGAGAAATTTTGCAGTTTTCTAGTGGTTTATTGGAGATAAGAGTTTCAAAGACTTTCCTGCCCAGGCTGGCTTTGAACCGCGATCCTCAGATCTCAGCCTCCTGAGTAGCTAGGATTACAGGCATGAAACACCAGTGCTCAGCTTTCCCTTTATTTTGGTGCATGAAGAGCAAACCGTCAAGGTTGCATGCTACTTGTGTAAAATCCTAGATCAAATACAGTACTCCCAGCTCTCCTATGTATGTTGACTGATACTGCTGTTACCTCAGACTCTAAGAAAAATGGCTGAACAGAAGCAAGATGTAAACAATATTTATCCTGTTATCACATGTTTTTAATTGCTTTCCAAGACAGTATGTGCAATAAGATTGGTGTTTGTGTTCATCGTGAATGTGTACTCTGTCTCTAGGACCTGCATCTCTGTAATGCCTGATCACTTGCACAGTGTTTGGGCTTGTCAGAGAGACCTCACCCTGCTCTTTTGTGATGATCCTACTCATGACATGTGGAAGCTGTATTGTCCAGCTTGTTGACAGTGATTAGATCACATCTGAAATCCATTTCTAGACTCCAAACCTGGAAATGCAGCTATTGGAATTGGGTTTTTGTCTTGTAACTGCTAGTTCTTGGAAAGGCACATCAATGAATATTTGAACATCTACAGACTCCCGGGTATGAGTGACAAGAAGAGATTGTGCAGCTGGTGAGACACATTGCCTTTCTGGAGCAGGGAGCCAAAGAAGCAATTTTACTTTTTCTTCCCCAAGTGCAATAGATTTACTAATCTGATTGATATTCTGTTGCTTTAACAATCTCTGCTGATGTTTAGGGACTCTATGTGCTCAGCCAAAATTCCTGTGAAAATATCTCTTTAAATTAGATTGAATTTATCTTTGCCAAATGAAAAAAATCATGTTGTATTCCAGGAAGCAAATATTAAAATATCAAGACAGGATAGAATGTGTCATTTTTTTCCCTTTACCAGTCCTTCTGCTGTTCATTGGGAAGACCCAGACTTTGCCACTTGTCAAAGAAGGTGCAGACTCTAACAATTTTTTCCTTCTCAGAATTTGATCTGCTGCCAACTTCATGTTCCTCCTGCCACAAACCATCAGGGAGTGAAAAAAGAAAAAGCTCCTGAAGGCAAAGTTTAGTGATGTTTTAAATTCTAGTATCTTGTCTGGAATGTGTGTGTGTGCGTGTGTCTGCGTGTGTGTGTCTGCATGTGTATATTTCCTCTTGCCCCAAGCCATATACTTTAGCCATCATAACTCTCTAGCAGGAAGAAGTAGCTGGTAGCTATTGATTAAAGATTTCTTTTTTTTGGGGGGGGAGGTCCGGTCGTGGGGCCTGAACTCTGGGCCTGGGTGCTGTTTCTCAGCTCTTTAGCTCAAGGCTAGCGTTCTACCACTTGAGCCACAGTGCCACTTCTGGCTTTCTTTTTGCTTATGTGGTGCTGAGGAATCGAACCCAGGGCCTCAGGCATGCAAGGCAAGTGCTCTACCACTGAGCCACCTTCCCAGCCCAATTAAAGGTTTCTTATAGGCAGCAAAAGACCAAACTCAGTTCTTTGCTTCTTGTTTTCACTGTTCTAAGCCTTCACTTTTCTTCAGTTTCTTTCCTGAGGTCTGTTGCCACCATATGAAATTTCCTTAATTTCCTTAATGAAATTCCCCAGCATGTGTCTGATGTGAGTGAGAATCATGGTTCAAAGCCAGCCTGGGCAGAAATATCTGTGAGACTCTTTATCTCCAATTAACCAGCAAAAAGCATGAAGTGGAAGTGTGGCTCAATTGGTAAAGTGCCAACATTGTACCAAAAAAAAAAAGCCAAATGGGATCAAGAGACTCTCACACACAAAAAAGGATGGATCCCAGCTGATGTAGGTGAAGAAGAAGCAAACTTTTCTACAAACCACCATGACTATATGAGTAGCTGTAAGGACAATCTTTTTATCCAATCTTCAAGAACAAATTTCTTTTGTTATATTAACACAGAAATGTATAGCAAAGCCAGAAACTTTAAGGAAGAAGTAGCATTATTAATGAATCTGCAAGTCTTATTCTTGTTCTGCCAAAAGATTTCATAATTCATTTTATAGCATTTTTCAAAGATTCAATCCAAAGTTATGCATCAGCTTAGCAGTCCTGTCTGTGGCCCCCTCTTATCAGACAATCTGTAAGGACAATCTTTGAGATAAGCTTGCCATGTTCTAAATTTTTAGCACTTCACCATCATTACTTTCCATTGGAATTCTTCCTGCCTCCTTTCCCTTCCCCCCAATAAATAAAAGGCAAAATTAAAAACACTGGATAGCAAATACCATAACTTGCTCTTTGCAGCCAGGCTCTTGGTTAGTTATACTTCAGCCTCTGGCACTGAACACTAGGCTTTACAGAGCAGTTGAGACAGCACTGTGTGTGGTCTATGCATGTTGAAACCCAGGACACTCTTGGACTGACATGTAGGTGATGCAGTCATTCCCAAACCAAATCCTGTGTGTCCTGTGTCTCCTCCCTGAGTGATATTTGTAAAGACTCAAGAAAACAACAGGAGAGAGGTGCTATTTCCATTTAAATCCATGTGAATTGCAGAATTCAGAAATGCTTTATCCCTGGTACATTGGCCTGATTTATGTGTGTCCCTCCCATTCCCAAGGCAACCTAATCTTTGAACTTCCTAGTGTTCTGAAAGGAAGAATCTTCCGTGGACCACACCAAGCCATCATCCTCTGTGGATCTCAGGATTCCACTGTCCACTGTCAGTTTCCTATCTGGCTTAGTGTAGGCTTGTTTAAAGCAATTCTGACTATCCAGGAGCTATTCTGATCATTTTGGATGATTACAGGGATAAAATGCAATTTTAGTAAATTAATCATAGATAATTATAAACTATAACCTTAGGAGCAAGGAGTGTATCTTTGTTTAAAATAAAAGGATGAATAATGTTCAGCAGCTGTGTAAATAGAGTAAGAATTGTACATTATGAGCTCTGCTTATTTTTCTCTTGTACCATAAAAAAGTGTGTAAAATTATCATGAAAGCTAATGTACAGTGATATTGCCTTATTTGTCTGGAGAAATGGAGCTCAGAGACAACTGCTTCTTGGAACTTTGGAATATTTTATCCTATATTCTTATTTAAATTCCTCCCCTACTTAAGATATGTACACAAAACCAAATTGTTTATGTAACTGTTCTATCCTTTCACATGCAGATCAGTTGTAATAAATCTAGGATGTGATGATGACTTTGAATTTGGTTTTCCCAAGCTAGACCCTAGGAAGAGAGACAAAGTCAACTAATGATATTGAATTATTTGCACATTTCACATTAGGGAAAAAAATCTCTCCTTCCAAAAAAAAATTCTTGAAAATATTTTACAGAAAACAACTTCTTTCACCCCATCGCTCAAATCCATTGCTGCTGTAAAGTGAAAACATATGGAATTGATTTTACTCTGAACAGTTACAGAGTTTAAACTGTTCATAGAGTTCAGGAGTTCATAGTAAAAAAAACCCCATTTTCCTGTTACATTTTGTTTTAATCTCACATTCATATTACAAAGAAAGAAAGCCCTCTATAGGATCACTGCAATTTCAGGCTGGACCTCCAGGAGAAAACCCTAAGTGACTGGCCAGTTCATTGTATATGCCACTGAAATTTCACAGATAATACAGAAAGACTTGTTCATTTCTCTAGGAAAGTTTGCTTGATTTAATAGTGTGATCTCATTTACCTCCATTATGATAGAAACATTTTTGGATGCCTGGGCCTTTTCCTTCTTAGCTGCTCAAAAATTGTGTAGCTGCCTGAAATCACTACAAATGGAGAAATTCCTGTGTTACAAGTTGAAGAGGAATAAAACTAAAGTTAGATCATAATATGTCCAAATGGATTAAAGACCTCAAAGTAAAAGCAGACAATCTGAAAACACTACAGAAAGAAATAGAAGAAACTCTAAGGCTCCTTGACACAGACCAATTTTTGGTGTGGTGAATACATTTGTTTTATTTATATTTTGTATATTTTTTATTGTAAAAATGCTGTACAATTACATGAGCAAGATAATGAGTACATATCCTATTGAGCATTGTTTCCTCTTCCTTTGTTTTCCTCCCACCATCCCTGCCCTCCACCTCCACAACTACCTCCTCACCCCCACCCTATCCCAACCTCCACCCTCCTAGCAAAATTGTAAGTTTGGTTCAAAATAGTGTTTTGTACATCTCATTGTTACAATGGGTCAATCTGTATCCTTAAGCATTTTGTTGCTAAGATATGGAACCAACCCAGATGCCCCTCAGTAGAAAAATGGTTCAAGAAAATTATATATATATATATATATATATATATATATATATATATATATATATACATATATATTATACACACACACACACACACACACACACACACACACACACACAATGGAATTCTATGCCTCCATCAGAAATAATGGCATTGCCCCATTTGTTAGAAAATGGAAAAACTTGGAAAAATTACATTAAGTGAAGTAAGTCAGTCCCACAGAAACATAGGTCCCAAGGTTTCCTTTATTTGCAATAACTAGTATATGTCTGAGACAAGCAAAAACAGTCAGAAAAGCTGATGTTAGGTGAAATGAACCCCAACATAAGGATTCAAATGATTTTTTTCTTTCTTGTGATTGTTTCTAAAATATTTATAAAATGATTTCTTTGTTTCTTTGTATGTCCATCCCCCACGGCATAACCCCTGTTTTCACTGTATTTGATGTTGGTATAATTTGTGGAGGGGAAGGAAAAAAACCAAATTGTTTAAATAGGGATACAAGTGGACCCATTGAAACAATGAGATGTAAAAGACATTATGTCAAAAAACAAACTTTACAACTTTGGGATGGGGGAGATGGGAAAGGATGAGAAGGGGAAACAAAGAGGAGGCAACAGTGCTTGATAAGAAATATACTCATTTCCTTGCCCATGTAATTGTAACCCCTCTGTACAGTATTTTCACAATTTAAAAAAAAGTCAGTCTTTCTATATGACACCTTGCCTGCTTCACGTTTAGTCTTATACTGTGTCTTACAAGAACATTGACTTCTGTGTGCAGTGATGTAGGTGGTAACTTTCTGATTTGTGATGCTGTCAGAAATTGTTGGGTAGCTCTAATTGCTATCTTCCCTTTATCTTTACTCTGACCTTTAATATCTTTTTTAGTATGAGTTTGGATTTGGGTTTTGTCACATTCTTTAGATGCAGTTAAGCATTATTATGTCTTTTTTTATATGTTCAATATTGCTGTTAACTTCATGCTAGGAATGCAATACAGTAAAGGCAGTATTTTGTTGTCTTCACTTTCTTTTGTTTGACAAAAGTTTTAGAGTTCTTCATTGGACTATTGGTTGTTTAAAGTTCATAGGTTAATTGGCATGTTACTATACTCTGGGCATTAAATATACTTGGTATAGCCAGGTTCATGAGTCTTTCATCCTAGCTATTCAGGAAGCAGAGATTTGATAATCACGTTTTGAAGCCAGCCAGGCAAAAGGCC